GACAGCACCCAGCACTGAGTAACACTCGCCACCAGTTGGAGCTAGAGCTGGGGCTGGAGCACGGGAAACAGCTGATAACTCTCTAACTGCTGCTCTCTGAAACTCGTGAGAATTGTGCACTGAGAAAAATGAAGTAAAATTGTGGCAGAATTTAATTCGAATTGCGCTTATCCCTACTCGGCATAAATATAAGCTCGGATTGGTCAGGCAATTTTTTTATAATAATAAATACATTTGACTATTCCTTGAACAGTATTAATTTGTGCATCTGGCAATGCTGTCCGAATCTCACTTGCCATTCTCTCCTCTTATTTTTCGCCCTTTGCATTCGCTCTCGCGCTCTCCGCCCCTTGCGAATTCGACGCGACCACTAAACCAAGCGAAAAAGCGAACCACTACAACAACAAAACGGCTGCAACCCTTAAAATTGGGGCCAGTGGCATTTTGTTTGTACCTGCGCAGAGCGAGCCCCCTCTCACATCCAAAAAAAAAAAACAATTTATACGTATTTCGCTTGCAACGGCGACCACAGCACATTGAACGGCTACAAATATGTTTGCGTGGCATGCAAACAATTCATGAGAAAGGTGGTGGAGGGGATAGTGGGACTCAGTTCTCTAGTACAACCGCAAACGAGCGGCGCAACAGTAGCCAGAGCCAAAGAGCGGTCCACACTTGACCGCACGACTGTAGGCAGCATTGCAGCATTTGATATACTGTTTATGTTGGTATGTGTAACAATGTGTGGGTGAGTGGATGTGTGAGTGTGTGTGTGTGCGTATGAGTAATTTGTTGTGAAATCTGGGCGAAGGCACATTGTGTCTGCTTTTGGCTGTGATAATTAATATCACTGAAAGGATATTTCGACGCGCATAATTAGGTACGAGTTGTGCAACAGCTACAAAACGCCCACTTGGACACGCCCACAATGTGTGGCAATGCTACAAATAAAACTTAGGTGAGAAGCAATTCACATACTTCTGAGGAAATATAGCACGGAATATACCCTGTAAATAGGTCTTAGTTAGTATTCAATGCTTTTTTGGCTCTAACTGGGATATGATCTTTAGTAATTTATATATAACGAGGAAAATTTGTCTATAAAATATTAGTCATAATTATTCTGAGAAAATATGACATGGAATCTACCCTGTAACTAAGCCTCAGATGGCATTCATAGCCTTTTTGGCTCTAACTGGGATAAGATCGGGCCAAGAATATAACGCGAAATATTTATAAATAAAATATTAATCATAACTTTTCCGCAAAAATCTTTATTGCGATCAATTGATTAACGAATAGAAGTGGACTTCCTATGATAACATATTATTTTAGGGGAAAATAACTTTGTGTCAAAATGATAATACCCTCTGCTGAGCTAAAATCACGCCTTGCTTGTCTTTTCCGGTTGTTATAGGCTGCCAAGGAGCCTTTTATATGACAGCAAGCGAATTGCGGTCGTGTCGAGAGTCCCAGCTAGGCATGCTTAGCGTTGGCATATGTATGTGGCAGAGGGACTTAAACAAATTAGATTTGTGACATTTTTATTGCTATTTAGGTTTGCCAGCTGGGTTCACGGCAGGCCAAAATATTGCATGCCTTAAGGTTTCCATTATATTAAGTTTCGAGTGCTCCAATTGGATTCGAGCCAATTGGAATAACGCGTGGAATGGGAGCATTATGTTTATGATATAGAACTTTTCCATAAAGTGGAGGTTTCATTACCTATCGAAATTTGTAGTAGACCAAAAAGGTCACACGGCCCGACCTGCAGTTGAATGTCCTTTTTATGTCAAGTCAACAAACGACAACAAGAATTGCAGGAGGGGCGCCCCACAACGTGGCAAGACTTTCGATTTTTTGTTACTTTTGTTGCGGACGACTTTTTGTGCTCATTTCTATGCGATTTTCGGCTGGGAAAATTTGCGGAAAATTTTAGGTAAGAAGCCTAACATAACATCTAATTCACAAGAAAATTGATAAAATATGAAATAAAGAAAATTCGAATTCCGTCTTATCTTGACTAAATAATTTCAACAATTCAACTGGGAAAATAACGTAAATCTAAAATAAATATAAGCTACCTTTTAACATCAAACACTATTCAACAAAAAAATTCTATTTCGGCTTAGCTGGGTTTCCAACCAACACACAGTCAATTTCGAAACCTATTTGAAAAGCTTTCGAATTCGAAAGCAAAGAGCTTAAGTCAAGACTCAAACCACACAAATGAGATTTACTTTTTTGTAAATATTTAACAATTATATCTGATTAAGCAAAAATATTTAAAATATAAACTTAAATAAACATTAGTTAATTTTATTTACAATAATTAAGTAATGGCTTTCGGCAGCGGCATTTTAGCAAAAATTACGTTAAAAAGACACGAACGAAGTGTTTACTTTATTTTATTAGTTAAATAATGTTGGCAATAAGCTGGAAAGAGGAGCGGATTATTATTACAGGTCTCTAATTAATGTTAATTAAATTAACTAAAATGCAAAATAAAGAAATAACAATCTACAAAACAAAAATAAATAAAACAGACAAAACAATAAAACAAAACATGGACAATAATTGTTGACGTTTTCCATTTTGTAAATAACATTTTATTATTAATATTTATGTGTTGGCGTCGTCCGTTTTTGTTTTTATAAATTTAACAAGTGTAGAAAAATTAAAGCAAAAAAAACTTCTACTTATACAAACGTAAGGAAAATCGTTATTTGCATTGTAATTATATGAAAACTTAGACTATTAAATTTTGAGCTGAAAATATACAAAGAGATTTTGGAAATATTTCATGATTAGTCCTTATATGAATATAGAATATGTTTTTTGTTTCAAAACGTTGTTCGTTGCTTTTTTTCGACTTTTTTTTATCGTGTGCTTAGTATAAAAGATATTTGTATATTAATAATTAAAAAGAACATAATAAAGCAGATTATTAAAAAATCATTGGCACAAGTTGCAGTCAAATTAAAAATAAAAAAAATATTCATTAGGTAAATTAAACGAAAATTAGTTAATTAAGTTAGTTTTCGGATGTGGATGAAATGCATTTGCACAGTGGTTCTTAAGCCATAAATATAAAACTAAATTATAATATATAAATAAGAATACTTTTGGGCTATATCAAAAAATAAATTTAACGCATCGATATACATTAATAAAAAGTTTCGTTTGCCGCGGCAGAAAAATATGAATAACAACTTTGCCCCGTAATTACAACAATAACAAGAAGAACAACAACAAACGACTACAAACACATCAAGTTGTGCAATAACAACAAATGTGTGTGAGTGTGTGTCGGTGTGTGCATGTGTGTGTGTGTGTTCAGGCGAGCGCTATTGCCACAATGATAATCACACCAATTACGATCAGGCACAATGTGAGCAAATCATTGGGCGTAATCAGGCCCACGGTGCAGGCAACAAGTACGTGCTCGAGTGTCGTCAAACCGCCCTGCGTCGCGCCGCGGAGCTCCGCCCCCGCCCCAGCTGCCGTAGCCGGTCGCACTTCGCCGAACACGGAGAGCGCTTTCGAGCTGGTCGTTGGCCGTTCCTCTGCCAACGCCGGAAGTCCTTGGCGATGGCGCGTCTCAATTTCATTGGCTTCGCCGTCCCCGTCGCTGTTGCCGTCGCAGCCGCTGCTGTGGCGCTCATTACGTGTTAAAGTATCCTTAATTGGCATATCAGCGCCCTCTTCCTCTGCCTCTCCATCTTTCTTCCTATCTTCGCTGCTTGTTTCGCTCTCCTCTTGCTCTGCTTTGGTATCGTAATTGAGTCGCACCTCGGAAATGCTCAGGTTTATTTGTGGAGTCTCGTAAACGATGCTCTTTTTGCGCTGAACTAGTTCACATGCAGCAGGTTCATTTAATGCGCTTTCGTCAATTGTGATTTCTTTAAGAAAAGCTTCGTCCAGACCAATTCCAACAAAATCATTTTCGTCAGCTTCGTTTTCATCGAAACTAATGTCGTTAATTTCTTTCAAGAACGGTTCACTAGTTAGGTCATAAACTGCCATGCTTAATGCAAGCGTTTCGTCAAGTTTTTGCTCGGAATTAAGTTCACTTGCAATCTCGGTTCCATTAAGTGCCGCCTCCTGACGCATGCTCTCGCGCTGCTCTTGCAGCTCGTCCTGAGCAATTGACACTAAATTATTTTCGTCAACTTCGTTTCCTTCGAAACTACTGTCGTTAAGTTCTTTTATGAGAGATTCACTTGTTAAGTCATAAACTGCTTGCTTTAACTGCTGCTTTAACGCGGGCGTTTCATCAAGTTTTTCCTGAGAAATTAATTCGGTTTCGTTAAGTGCCGCCTCTTCACGCAAGCTCTCAAGCAGCTCCTCCTCTGTGGGCAAGCGTGGAAAATCTTCAGCCTCCTGCTTAGCGCTTTCGCACACGGTAACGGTGTCATCATCTGTACTTATCGAAACCTCGGTCACGTAGTGCTCCTTAACCTCAAAGCGACTATTGTAGCTGGTTTGCAACTCAATGGATGTATTTGCATGGGCTGCGAGTGGAAAGTCAGCTAGGCTGGCGTTACCCGAGTCCGGATTTGACGATGTTTCCTCCAACTCCGAACTTAACGAATCGAACTGGGTCAGGGCGGGGGCCACCTCGGGCCTATTCATTACAATGTCGATTTTACTGGCATAGATGCGATTGAAATTGGGCGAAAGCTTCAGGCAGGTCCCAGCGCCCGTCTGCTCGTGCTCCGGTTCCAGCTCCAGTTCCGGTATGGTGGCTAACTTATAACTATGACTACAAGAGATACTAGCACTGTCATTAGGGGATGTGGATGCAGATGGGCGGCAGCTGCTGCTGCTGGTAATATTAACATCGAATTCGGGGTCAAGTTTAGGGTCAACATTCAAAACTGGATTAGTAGCGGTAGCTTGGAGCGCACAGCGGGGATTAGTAGCGGCATCTGAGGAGCTCGTCGCATTGGCTTTAACTTGTGCTTGCACTTGTGCTTGGGCGGGGGCAACGCCTTTACCTGTTGGGTTAACCGGCGGCTGCTTGCGACGCAGCTGTTTCACTGGCTTCTCCTCGATGCCAAAGATGGCGGCCAGCTCCTCGCTCGAATTGTACTGCGAGGGCGACGAAGAGCGTGCTCTGCGTTCGCCAACTGGCGTCAATTGCAACGGCGGGGATGAGGCGGATGACGACGAGGTCGGCGACGGCGACGCTACGCTGGCGGTTTGATTCTCGGTGGTTGTGGTGCTGCTCTGTGTAGTGCTCTGTGTGCTGGTGGTGCTGATTGTGGTGTTGTTGGGCGTCGTCTCCGCATCGTAGGACGTGGTGCTGAATGTCTTGATGGGATCAGTGCTGGGTGCATGATAATCGCTGCTCTGCGACTTGATGTAGTCGCTCGATGAGTACGGATTAAATGAGGTTATGCTCGAGGACATAGGCCGACTGGCATTCGACGGACTCGATGACTTGGCCAGGCAATCGCTGCTGGAGCTGAACGAGGATGCGGTGGTGCTTACAGTGGTTGCCTGGTGACTGCCACATCCACTCCTACTGCCGCTGCCACTGCCGCTGCTCATGCTGGGCGCCGTGGTGCGCTGATCATCCGTGCTGGATGCAGTGGTTGCTGTTGTCGCCGTCCTGCTGCAGCTGCTCCCGGGACCCGTTTCCCGCGCCTGACGCTCGCACTCCTGCATAATGCGATCGATATCGTCGAGCGTTTGGGACTTGGCCTGCGCCCGTGTCCGGGCCTCTGCAATGGGACAAATGAGAGTGGCATCAGCGTGGACTCCAGCTCCAGTTCCAGCTGTGCTCATATTACACGCGGCCAGATTGTCGTAGTCCGGCCCGGGTTCCGGCTCCTGCTCGGGTTCGGCCAATTCGCTAAGCTGTCGCATGCAGCGCTTGGCAATCGCCTCGATCTTGTCCGACTGTATGGGATCCAGTTTCCTAATGAGATGCGGCATCACCAGCTGCTGCTCCTGCTTCACCTGCAGCGCCTCGTGTACAACCACGGGCGGTTCGGTGGTCACAATATCCTTAAGGATCTTCTCGCAAACCGCGTTCGCCGCCTCGGACACCTCGTCGATGGCGCGTATCAATTTCCCTTCCTTGTGCAGTTTTCGCTGGTGCGGCTGCTCACTGTCCGGCTGATCATGGTCGGGCAGAGTGTCGAGGAGCAGTTGGCCACAGCGCTTGGCCGCCTCGGAGACGGCCTCGATCTGCTGCAGCTCTTGTTCCAGCTTTTGCTGCTCCGGATTCAGTTTGGGCCTGGCAGCCGTGATGAGCGCCTCCTTGCGCAGCTCGTCCAGCTCCTGGGTTAGTTTGATGCTGCTCGCCTGCGCATCCTGCGCAATCTTATTCAGCGCATCCTCCAGCAGGGGCTCGGGCGTTAGGCTCTTGCGTGGCGCCGGCACCGGAGGCAACTTTGCCGTTTCATCGTGTCCCAGACGCTCTGGCAGCTGGGCTATAGCGCCACCCTGATTCGGATGCCTGAATGGGATGTGCGGCTTCTTGTTAAGCTCCTCGTCCTGGGCCTTGAGCTTGCGCAGGAGATCCAAGGTGCCCGGTATATCGCTGGTATCGCTCGGCTCCGTCACGCCCAGATTGGACATGGAGCCGGCGCGTTCGATGCTGCGCGTCAGCTCGATATAGCTGCTGAGATCCCCGCCAGACGGCTTCGCTGCGGCCCTCTGGATCAGATTGTATATGTTGGCGGATTGGGTGCGCGTCGCGCGCTGTTTTTTCTGCATCGGATAGTTGTAGTTGGACTTAGGCCCGGGCGGATCTTTCCGCAGCGCACGCACCGCCAAATCATCCTTGACAATGTCCGGCGAACCGCTCTGCTTCTTCTTCTGCACAGGCTCCACATGGAGATAGTCGCTCTGCGGCGCCGGCACAATCGGGCCGACGGGTATCCCGAAGGGCGGCTGCCTGTCCGCGGCGCGATACTGCAAATTGGCTAGCTGCAGGTTGCGATAGGCGACATCGTCGCGCACCGGATCCGGCTCACCCGCCGGCGAGTCCTCGTCCTCGTAGTCATCGGCATGGGCCAGGGCGAATTTCTCAAAGTCACTCGGCGTGGGCAGACGCGGCTTTGGCTCCGACTTGGACTCCGACTTGTGCTCCGACTTGGGCTCAGGCGGTTCGGTGAGGCCGAGCGACTTGTAAATGGCCTCTAGCTCGCTGATGGCCTCCTCCAGATTGGCAGGCTTCTTGCGTGGAAAATAGATGGGCGTTATGGCTGGGGCGCTGCCCTTGCGTTCGGTAAAGATGGGCGCCGGCGCCTGTTGATGCTGTTCCCGTTTCTCGGCCACGTACTCCTCGTACTTGTTGGGCAAATCCTCACCGGAACGGCGCTGGTAATGATGCGGCATGGAGTTTGTCTTGTACACATCCCGATGACGTATCTCCACATAGTTCTGGCTGCCATGCTCGCCGGGCTTGATGTGCAAACTGCCGCAGATGACGCTATCCGACTCCGGAGTGGGAACGGGAGCGGGACCAGGCACTGTTCGCTTGGGCTTCTGCACTTCAGAGTACATTGGTATGGGATAGCTACGCAGCTCGCTGATTCGCGAACTGGAAATGGAGCGTGGCTTAGCCAGGGACTGCCCACCCTCGCTGGAGCTGGCCAATCCGCTCTTTGAGGTGCGCAAAACGCCGCTGGAAGCCGGCAGGCCGGGCTTTGGCGCACGCAGTCCGCCGCTAGGGTCCAGCATGTGAATGGGCTTCCTTGAGCGCGGCGTCGCATCGGCCACATAGCGGAAGTCGATGCCATTGGGCAGCGACTTCTTGCCCGGTAGGGCGTTCCGCTCCGAGCGGGTAATGAACCGACGATGATGTTGATGTGCTTGCTCGGGCTGCTCGGTGACCGGGGCACTGGCTGTGGAGCCGCCGCCGCCTGGCTGGGAATTGAGCGAGTGCACGGATTGGTAGTGCGGTGGCTGCCACATCCGATCGTCGGACACACAGCGCCCGCCCTGATCGAAGGCGTACGAGACGGGACGCAAATCGCTGGAACTGTAGCCGGCATGGACGCGCCGCAAGGGATCTCTCGGGGGCGGCGGTGGCGGCAGCGGCAGCGGCTTGCTCTGCAGTCGTTTATTCGCATTTTGCATATGCATTTGGCTATCGTAGCTGATGCTGCGCTTCGCATCGCTCTGCATGGTGTTCTGCAAGGGAGGTACCTGCGGCTGCCATTGCACATAGCCGGAGAAGGCGGCGACGGAGGAACTGGGTGCTGCCTGGTAGATGGACAAGGGCAATGGCTGCGTTTTGTAGCGCTGCGTGGGCACTATCATCTGCTGCTGCTGAACAGGCACACCGCCATGGCTGACCTCGCCGTCGCGGGACAATCTTTTGTAGTAGCGCTCGTTGCGGGCGGCGCGACTGCGTCTACTCTGGCCGGGTGCGCCGTATCCCTGCAGCGCCTGGCCCCCGCTGTGTATGCTCTCGTCGCTGCGATACTTGGAGAAGGTGGAGGAGTTTAGCGAGATGATCTCCTCTTCGCTGGAGTGGCCCGGCACCTTGCCGCGGTGACCGGAACGGGATTTAGGTGGCGGCATATTCCCACCCGGTGGCGCCTGCTGCGACAGATAGAGCCGGCGATCTAGGGAGTTGCTGGAGCGGCTGTAGTAGCCCGGCTGGTTCTGATAGTATGGCTCCGGCGGTACCATCTCCACGGGCAAAAAGAACTCGTTGTCTATGTGCTGCGGCTGGACGGGATGCGCTTGGGACTGAGACTGGGACTGGGTTGATGGCATCACGATGTGATCGAAGCCGAGCGCTTTGTTGCTGCTGTTGCACCGTGCGGACTTGGCGTGATGTTTGGCCTTGGGTTTCGTTGCGCTTTGGCGCTGGGCGGGTACAAAACCGGCCTTGCGGTCCTCCTCGCTGGAGCTGGCGCTGCAATCGGCCGCATCCTTCTTTTTGCGAAAGAGTCGACCAAAGGACCATTTCTGTTTATTCGACAGCTGCTGCTGTGAGGATCCGGATCCGTTCAGGCGCAGACGCTCCATCTCCAGTGCGTGGTTGTTGTTATCGGATGTGGTTGGGGAAATTGTTGCTTGATTTGTGGCTTTCGTGTCGTCGTCTTTGGGCAGCGGCAACTGGGGACGCCAAGTTGTTTGAACAGTCTACGGAGAGGGAGAGAGAGAGGGAGAGAACAAGAGAAATATAAATTAGTTAGAGTCAATAGCCGGCTTAATCAAGATAAGTTTTATTTAAACATTCGTTTTATTTGCACTTAATGGGCCTACAGAGTTGATGTTTAGACAAACGATAAGATTAAATGAAATCTTATTAACTTGGCTAAAAGAGCTGGAGATAACCGCCCAACCAAACCAAGCTCCGTCTTGGCTTGTGAAATTAAATGCCTATTTTATATATTTATGTCATACACTGGCAGAAAAACCGTGCAACAATTGCTTTCAGTCAAAAGCTTTTCGAGTCTCTGCCTATCTTGACATACTTGTTGTTTTCAAAAACTTTATATATAAATATGCTATGCACTAAGATAAAAACAGATTACTTTTCCGAGAACCAGCTTTTGAAGCTGAGATGTGCCATGCATTTGGCGCACTTTTTCTTGCAAATTTTTCTTTATGATCGGGCAGAAATTTGCATATGCAGCTCCCACGACAGAATCTTAAGAGTTGAGTGCAACCGAAGACAACACAACGGGCGGAAGTAACTCATTATCATACAATTCAGATAGTTAGCATAATACTAATTGCTTTTGCAGAACCTAAAGGTGAAGCGTTGTAAAGATAGAAAAATGTGTTATCAATCAAGATAAAGATAATTGTTGTATAACAAATGTGATGGCAAGTTCTTAAGACATTAAACATTTACAACTATTTAATCTAATCTCGAGTTAAGAAACAAAAAACTATTCATACTCAATTATTTTTTTAGTTTTCAATGACTCTCATATGCGAATCATATACAAAAATAAACGAAATTGCGTGTGAAATTCAATTTCTTTTTGCTGTTTTTAATTATTTGTTTAATTTGGGATTTTTGTTTATAGAAAAAAGCTCTAAAATTGGGCGTGGGACTCATATATATGAGACACCATTTCCGCTGCTGACGATCTTATATCATGTTTATAAAGCAGACGATGCAAAAGGGGCAACAGTTGTCTTATTCGTAAGGCACATGGTCGAAGGGCTTATTAAAAGCAAATAAACAAGGGGCAAATATAAACATGATGTGGAATATAGGCGGAATATGATTCAATTTCGATGAAGTAAAAGGCTTTAGACTAAAATTAAAGTTTTCATTGGGATGCACTGAAGGAAATCCAGAATGCAAAAGTCGTGTAACAGGCGCAAAGTGTAAACATGATGTGGAACAAAGGCATAATACGATTCAATTTTGATTAAATAAAAGGCTTTAGATTGAAATTAAAGTTGCACGAAAGGAAATTCCGAATGTTTTACATATTTATGATCCACTTCAAATGAAATCTGCGGCAAAGTCGCGTAAAACCATAAACTATTTCAACACGTGTTGTTTGGTTACATTCACAAAATGATTTATGAACTGCGGCATAACGAAACACGATTCTAAAAACCACATAAAAGTCAGAACAGCTACGTGACTCAGTTTAAAGACAAATAATTTTTTTGTATAAGAGAATTTATGCAGAAATTTTGAGAATTGATGGCGTCGCAAACAGCTGCGTAATATCGGGCAGACTGCCAAGGCACACATCAGGCATACGCACTGTGTAACGCGTGAAAAGCTAGGAAAACACAATGGAAACACGCAGCGAGTATGAGTAGGATAACTAAAAATAAGTACGCGAAATTGTAGAAAATAAGTGTAAAAAAAAAAAAAGAAAGTTAGATTCCCAATAGAAATGCCAAATTCGAAGTGAAGCTCAACACAGAACCGTTTCCACATTTGCGCAAAATTTATAAATAAATATGTTACAAGTGGAAAGCAGAAATTTACGCGCGATTCTAAACTATATAGAAATGGAATACGAAAGTGTTCTTTTCCGAACACGCGCGTCCACTTGACTGATAGAACAGGAAAACTGTTCACGACCATCGCGATCAGCCGCGCCAAAAGCTTTCCGTGTGAAGCTCTTTCCATCAACATAGAGAGCAGAGTGTGTTTGCTTAAGAGAGCGCGAGAGAGTGAAGAGAAAATTTGGGGAATACATAATGGGTTTTAGAATGCGGCGTCGACAGCAATATTTCAATTAAGTAAATCGTAACTAAATCTAAATGATTTTCCATTTCTTTTAAAGATCAATTGGGAAGTCAATGAACCGCTGCGAAAGTGTTACGTGGCCGCAGAGACTTTTAATTAACGAAAATTGAGAGCAGAAAATGCTCGTGTGGAAAAGTTCTTTGCCCACCGCCCACTCATATATTTGGGGAAAGTAAATGTAGATCGGAAAATGTGTCACCTGAAATTAAGTAAAATCATTATTGCCAAGAATTTTATATGCCAGGCATATAAAATCAAATTAAAATGTGGCCCAAAGTTATGACTGTGGAAGTGTGTCTGTTTAAATAGATTGGATAAGGTGGAAAACTTGAAATCTTTCAAATCTTGTTCCAATTTTATACTCAGTGTTTCTTTCTTTTATGTAAATGATTCACATTAGAGATTTTGTAAGTTTTCGCTGTCAAGCAAGTACAAATATTTGTACAGACTTTGAAAAATGGAACGAATGCGGAAGATATTTGCTCTGTCGAAAAGTGAAAGCAAATTACGGCCCGATCTAAATATAAACTTACTTTCTATATAAAGATCCGAGTGTGTAGACGGCAAAGTAATGCTAGAATATAGGTCAGTGGGCATTTTTGGCCAAGTTGCTGCGACCCTAGGTTTTTATATTTAATTGCTTAAAAACTGACTCATTTTTCGGAAAACAATTATAATATATTAATGCGAATCTTAATTAAAATGGCAAACGATTTGCAGCTGTTCAATAGAAAGTTAATGAACTGCATCTGCGGTGCGTTTACCCGTTTTTATTGCACTGAATAATAATTTGAAATAAAAAGTTTAATGACTTTTACCTTATTTTGCCTGATCGAGAATTTATGTAAAATTTAATTTTATTTATGCTTGTTGAAAAATTTGTATAGGACAGCTCGAAAATGGCAGATAAACTGGAATTTGGTTGTCACTGTGATCAGGAATATATACCTAAACAGTATGTAACTATGCAGTTGCTTAACATAAAGAAAATAATATATATTATAATAGTAGAAAGCAAACGAAATCAGAAGTAGACAAGAAGTGGCATTGGCTGTCTAATCATCGCCTGAAAATGTTTCCATTTAATGAAGAAGGCGTCGAACTCGTCACGCCAACTGCGTATAATGAATTAGGGATGCTTCAAGTTGCATTGTGGCAACAACAACAATCATGCATAATCCATACTAATTTCCCCAGACCTCAGCCGTTGTAGGGTCAATAACAGGCTCTAAACGGCGGGGGCTGAGTCCAGAAAGTTGGTCAACTGGAAAAAAGGAGTCAAATGGGAAAAGCTGAAAAACTGAAAATATTTTATTTATGTACAGCACGTAATGCATTTTGTCCTGGGGCAAGAATACTTGTGGCAACTTGTGGCAACATATTTGTTTATCCAGCGAAGCAAATGATCAGTGCTTGATATTGTTGTTGTTTGTTGTGAGTGAGCTGCGGGACCGCGCAACGCCGGGTGTTTAATGGCACCAGGAAGTCGCATGGTGAGCGCGGTCGTAATTCTAACATATTTTACATATGCAATTTCTGCTGGATAATATTATGAAAGGGATTGAAGAAAAGCGTGAAAAGTGTAGACTAATGACTTTAGGGGCGTATTTTATTATAAAACCATATTATTAAATCACGTTTCGTGGCTGTTTAGCGTCTTAAGCTACCAAAAAGCAGTCGCCATACAGCTAAACGTTTAATTTCCATATTTTGTTCATATTTCCAATTCTGCCCGACCAAATCTTACTCTTTTGCATATTTTCATATATAATCAAAAAAGCACACAAATTTTAAAATCAGAAACGCGTCGCTTTCATTTTCAAATAGTCGGTCAATGAACTTCAGCTTGGGCATGAGCCGCCGCCAAAAAAATTTGTCCGAAAAAAGGCAACCAAACATGTTTAATAAAAAATAATTGACACGCATCTGAAGAGGCGTCTCCAGAGGTGGCAGGGCCACAGTTGCCCTATTGGTTTATTATATTTATATTATGTTGTGCGTTTAGCTATACACGAACTTTTAAACTTTCACTGGACGTCATTCATTTTCACCCGTTTCAGACGCTAGAGGGAAATAATCAACATGCTCGTAATACTATATACATCTCGACATGTAAATCGATTTTTAATTGCCAAAATGTGTGTTAGTTTTGTTGTTGCCCCTTAACTAATTTGTAGCATTTATATATACGAAAAATAAAAAAATTTGCATAGTTACGTTAGTTAAATGTGTTGAAGACTTTTGGGTAGAAAAAAAAAGTATGATACGTGTTATTCGACTGTCGACAAATGTGGGAACATTTCCCAATCAAAGGGAGAGACAGGTGAAGCACTAGGTTGATATGATAAATGAGCACCGTGTGACTTCATTTCATTTATAATTAACACCCTAACATGTTGTGATATAAATAAAAATGGCACTCCACGCATATAGTAAAAGTATTTACACTTTTCTTTTGGTTTACTTTGCAATGAACAAATTAATTTCTGGATGTTTAGAAAGGTTTAGTGCGTGATGTTTCGTGACAAAAAAAATAATTTCAGACGTGTTTCGCACTTTTCGCAAATTTAAAAAATATTTGATACAAGGCTTAAGTTTGCATATATATGTATGCCTGTTTGAACACACGTGTATGCATATTTGTGTTTATATGCGACAAATAAGTATACATGCATACACACGCCCTATATCATATACCCTATATAGACAAAGGTTGAAATTTTCCACCCCCATGACTCGGCCAAAACTGAACCGATGTTCATGAGCTTTGGGATTTTGCACATAGTTTTCCCTCTAAACTTATCAGGCATCAAATCTGACTACGTAAATTTTGGTCAAAATTCGTGTCAAAATCGTACCCCCAAGATTCGTAAAGAGACACAGTTCGAAATTTCCAAACCCAATAATTCGGCCAAAACTCAACAGATTACATTCCAAACCGTACGAGCTAGGAAGCTGAAATTTAGTAATTTTTTAAGAATTTTATTTTCAAAGCTCTATATAAGAATATAATGAATACGTGTTTCAGCGATTTGGGAAATTCCACTCGATACAGTGGTAAAATGACCGAAAAAGTTTGTCTGAGAGTAGTTTGTACACTGTCCGCTCAGTTTCAAAATCACTTTCAAAGCTATTCGAGAACATTGATTTTATAACATAAGTGTCATGGGCAAGGCCGGGCTACACCCTTTAGTATGTAAATAAATCCTTAAGCCTTTGCGAACATAGAGAAATATTTAGTATTTCAGGTGTTGTTGAAACAAATTCTATGTCGTTTATACATATATTCCTGCTTTAAGCAATTACAATGATTCTGATTTACCAATCAGAGTCTGACTCTCACTGACAATGACCTTGACCTGGCTTTACTTATAAATGCCCGTTTACCGGAATTACTTAGTTGTGTACTGTTTAAGGTAATTGCTTAATAAAATAGTACACAAACAAAGATTATGCCTGAACCAAAAAATACTCACGAAAATTGTGCAAAATTGTGAAAAACGTGCGTTGTCGTTTAGAGTCTCGCAATTTCCGTACTTTTGCAAAAATTCACATGCACTTGTTTATTTTACACACAATAAAAAATCCCAACGACTACGTAAATTCAGTATAACAAGTATATTATTCTTTGAGATGTGCGACTCGACATGATCAAATTATTCTTTGAGATGTGCGTTAAATGTTATTTATAAGCACACCTCATCGCTATATAAGATTCAGTATTAGCACAAAGTTTTATTAAGAAATACTTGCTCTTCATTTTAAATCATGTGCAAAATTAACTTATGATGGTGGGTGAGTTTTTGGGTAGAGTTAAGCCACGAAATGCCATATATTTTCATATATACCATATATTCTGTAAATCCTAGTTTTTTTTTTGTGCGGTCAAAGGCGTGTTTAGTTTAACTCTATACTTTTCTTTTATTTCACTAATTTAAATTTTTAAAATATTTTTTTTTTTTTTCATTTTCAATTCGTTTGCTTTTAATTTTGAATTTTCTTCACTCACTGACAGCAGTCCGAAAACGTTCCGCAAATGCCTTGGCAGAGAGGCAGAACTTAGGATGAGCAAATTTTCAATAATGTGCGCAAAAATTGTGTGTATACATAAGAAATATGTATGTATATACAGTGCAGTTAAAATCGGTCCATTTAAATACACATCAGTTTTATATACCTGGCGAAGTGTTGGCGTTCGAAATAGTGAACATCAAATGTTTATCGAATGATTCATAAAATCATTCACACACAATCATGTGAATATATAAATAACATAATTTACTGAACTATATACAAGAGAGCATGTTTCAGTGGCCTAAAACTGCACTTAACCATTACAACTGATGCGATATATTAAAATGGGGAGATGGGCTGACATCCTTTGGGGCTAAAAAGAGTTGCCGGATGCAAACGCTTTGCATTTCCGGCATTTGCAGACCCAGTTATAATTACGCCGCATAATTGAATAGCCACAGAGCATATATTGCCTGTAATCGAGGCTTGTAATTGCTGAACGACGTATGGAAATATGCCGGTGAAAATTATATAGATGGTCAAAGCGAACTTTCAATCTTTACAGTTCGCTAGGCTGTTGGCCAACAAACTGTGAAAATAAATTGAACACGTGCCCCTTTCATTGCCCACCTGTGCGGCACGTCTGACAGGTGTTCCACATTTTTGACTGTGCTTTCAGAACTGTAAATTGTTTGTGTGATGTGTGTATTCTAATGTAGTGTGCGATGCGGCTGCTTTTGTGGCCCAAGGTTCGACCCTCGCGCCGCATTAGTTGCAATTATTGTGGCCTCTTGACATTCTTCTTTATATTGAGTGTCCACATGGCAAGCATTTCTCAGCACTCACGCATTATCGATCCCACCAATAAGCCTGCTAAGCCACTTGACGCTGGTTGGAACTTAATTTGTCATCGATTTTGCTTCGATAAAAACAGAAGCGTGAATTAAAATTAGCTGAAGAGCTTGCCCTCAAGAGGCTTCAATGCAAGCGCGATAAGCGGAGGCTTAACTAATTAAAAACATAGCCAATTCGATGCCCTTCCCTCAGTTTCTCGCTCTATCTGCAATGTAATTGCAACTAATTGGATTAAAAATTACATTCACGCACTTTGAGATCCGAGCTCGCAGCAAATATAAAATAAATGCAATTTCAAATTCAGATATCATTTCCTTTATGTAATTGCGGGTCTATTGCATCTGGCTCCGATTCCATCTTTGGCCCAAGCATATCTTTTCTATAGAAATCGTAATTTTATTTACCATTTTATAGTTTACCAGCGCAGTGTGTGGCGTGGAAAATGCAGAAAAAACAAATGAATGAACAATGAATGGAAAAAATCGGAATAAAAAATGCTGTACAAACATTTCATCGTACACGCAGACCGCAACAGTGAACACTGGCTATGAAGTCGACAAATCAATTCAGACAAAAAGCATTTAAATTAAAAAAAAAAAAACTTTTTAAGAATTCGATTTTAAAAATCCCAAACCCTAGCCAGTGCTTTAAGCCCGAATTCATGTTGCTAGCCCCAAGACCTGGTACCTAAAACGTATTTTCACTATGTCGCTGAAACCACAAACACAAAAATTCCCCAAGAAATATTTTATTTTCTGATTATGTACATTACTTCTTTTCCTTTTGCTTTTTATGAGACTTTTGGTTAAGTTGTGCGCCAGCATCACGTAATAAACTTCATTACGACCACAAAAATTGGATCGCGTTTACGTGCAGATGTTATAGAGTCTTGCAAAACAACAAAAAAACCTCTGCTTACTGTGTTTAACAAGCTTTGATTAGGCCAAGTTGTAATTTTTAAATAAAATATATATATGTAGTTTTTTCGACTGTATAAGCTAAAGAAAGGTTGGGCGGCGATTCAAGCCCTAAAAGCAACAATTACACAATACTCTATGCCCTGTCTCAAAACAAAAAAACATTTGTTTCGTGTTTGCCAATAAAAAGCTCATTTCATCAATGTCATGTCATGTTGCACACTCTGTACATGGGGAACCCATATCAGATAGTTGTCGGAACACGTGCGGTAATTATGGTGGGGCCCAATAATTTTGTTTAATAACGCAGCAATCGAAAAGAAATACAAATGATTGAAAGAGCTGGATGGACATGTTAGGTTCAGCCGAAACGATTATGGCCATTAGGTAAACGAATAAATGGATAACAAGAGGCAAGCCTTAAATTAACGAATGTTAAATACCCTTTACCAAGTAGAAGCTTTTTATATATTTCACCTTAAAACATAGTTATTAAATTTGCTGTAGCTGATCTCATAAATTGAAAAGTAAATTTGAACTATTGACAGATTCAACTAGTTGCATAAATATACGGAGTTCCAATAACATCAGGCCTTGCCTTGCCTAAGTCTCTAGGCCCGAGACCTCAGCCTGGCCTTAGTCGGCCAAGTTTATCAAGAAACAAGTTTCCGATTGGATGTTATCGAATTACATTCGCTACGTGTGTTATTGAGAGTTCCGCTAACGAAACGCTTTTAAATGTACTCACAGAGAACTGTGGTAAATTAAATTAATGAATGCGGCATTTCCCTATATTTAAATTTTATCGGCAAAGTAAGAAAAAGGCGCATGCAAGATTAAGGTGAAATCATTCGGACCCCAGCGGCAATGAACTTGAATCCCCAAATATATTCAAATCAAAGCGTTAACAAAAATTTACCGGACTGGAACTCGGTCTCAACATAATTGATAATGCATGAAATGTGACTGTCACAGATAAATCATGCAAGGTGCACCTTTAACCAACTAATGGAATTGTATAATTTTATGGAAAATTTTCTAGAAACAAAAAAAAAACAAAACAAAACAAAAAACATGGATAGGAACACGACTAGCATCCAGGTCGCAGCCAGATCTTCAACAGGTAAAAAATGAAAAAAACATATAGCAATAGATATTTTGTTGAAGGAATTAAAAAATCCTCTTTGCAGTCAGGTAGTCAATTGCTTGAGGTATGTTTTATGCATGGCCTTTGTTGGCTCAGAGGAGTTCAAAGACATTTGATTCTTTGGGGATTGGAACTTATGTTGCGTGTGCCGCAGCAGTGATTCAGAACATAAAGGACTTCAAGCTAATTAAAATGATACATTTTTTCATTTTTTTTGATGCCACACCCAGGAACTCAATGCCAAATTCCTCACCCTTAGCATAAGGTGGTTACCTGAGACAATTACTTAGGATCGGTCAGCTTTGTGGCTCGTTACTTGGCAACTATTGATTTTATGTGCAAGCCAAACAAATCCGATCCGATCCAATCAGAACCCAACCCAAAAACCAAACCACAGACAACGCTTGAAACGCAGTGAAATGCAAATGATTGAGGATCGGATCGCTCTAGTGTAGATCTGAAGCAAATCAATATCAATATCAATCTCATGCTGGATGGCGTGTTGTCTTTCATATGGGAAGTTGTTGACCCAGACAATAAAACAGATAAGACCCAGACTCCATGATAATTGAAAAACTTGCTAAGTTTGAAATCTGAAATTGTTTAGAATTTATTTTATTTTAATATGAAGAAAAACCAACTTTTCAGACAACGTCATGTTTTTATGCTGCACCTTCGATTGTGGCAGACTGTCAACTGATTCCATTTGATGAATAGCATTTATTAGGCCCCAACCCGCTGCACCTCCCTATCACAGATCATTTGTCAAAGTGTCATAGCTTCGATTGTTGTTGTCGTTTTTGACTTTGTGTACGGCATTGTTTATAGTTTGGCGTGGCATATTTTCTTTATTTATATATATTTTTTTGCCGTCGCATCGTCGAAATCTGAGCAATGTTATTGTCTGAAAATTAAGCAACATGCTCCGGTTCGGCATGCGGGTGAGATGGGTTAGCTGAGATTAGCATTCCAGCATCTCGAATGAAATAGCATAGAATGAGAATGAGAATGTGAATGTAGAATGAGCCGATGAGGTTTCAAATGTAGCAGACAGTAAATAAAAATGAGCAGGTTTTTTAGGATTAAGCAATGGGCCGGTAGCCAGTTGGAAAGATGCGCTTCACAATAAAAGGCTGAAAACCGGTCGCCAAGCAAAATCGGTTCGAACCAGGATTGGGCACAATTTTCATATGAGAATCTTCAAATCAAGTCCAAACAATTGGAAATACAGACATTACATGATTTCTTTTAAGGAAATTCGCTGTAAGCTTTGATGAATCACGCTTACAGACAATTTAGCCATAAAAGTAATCGAGTAAAACGCGCCGTCAACACCTGTTGCCGCTTTTGGTATTCCAACGAAGCACTTGATACATGAAGTGCCAGCTCTTATGAATTACTCCAACAGATCGAATTTAACTCCTAACTAATAGCTGCCCAATCATTTTTCAGTTAACCGAACTGTCATAACAAATTGTTAAAATATTGTAATTTTCAATAGATTTTTGCCAGCCCACATCGAATTGCGGCTGGCCCGCAAATTGTTGTCAAGCGTTGGGGAAGAAATTGCTTTCATATTGATTTGATTTATGTACAAATTATTTTTGGACAGCGTACCCAAAGACTTTTCAAATGCTTGTTGAGCATTGATTTTTGCCAACTCACAAATTGAAACTGGGTTAATTGGATTGGCCTCTAACAGTAAAAGGGCCTACACGGCATTAATCGAATTTTATGTGTAGGCATCGAAGCAGGAGTCAGGCAGAGCGTGTGCACAATAAAAATCAAAAGAAAAACCTTTCTATTAAGTGCAAAATCCGAGCGATAAATTGAGATATGGTAGTATTAATCAAAAGTGGAAAAAACTTTAAAATATTATAGCAAATATCATATATCTTATAATATACAACAACATTTATATAGAGAGTCGAAAATAATATTTGCGGCTTTACTTTTTAACTAACAAACATTTCTATTAAGTCAGAAATACAAGAGAAAAATTTAGATATATTTGGATAAATTGGATAAAAGTGGTAAGGTAATAAAATTATTACACCAAAAAGCATTGATCTTATTATATTCTTAACTATATAAAGCTGGATTTTGCAACCTTTCCATATTATAACAATAATGTATTGTATATACAAGAGAATCGAAAATAATATTTGCAGCTTTACTTTTTATCTAACTTAATGGCAACATTGTAAAATACAATATATAAGAATTGTTCTCCGTTTTAGTATAATCTCTAATTGGGTTCTATTCACATTTCTCAACTGAAAAGCACAAGACACATTTTCCACCTAATTATGTGTGCATTGTGAAAATGTGCCGTTAAATTGTTTTTGACATTCTTTTCCGAATGGTATTTTGTTTGTGAGTTTGATTAAATGCATTGATCATTAAGAATCTTACGAAAACTAGTTTAGACAAAGGCAGCAGCACAGCTAGCGGCAGCTTCCTGCCCGATCGTATCGTAGATGAATGCCGAAGGTAAGCCACATTTTCGACACCGAAACCTTACCAACACAAACAAAGACACCTGCCGCTGCTGCTGCTGCTGGCTAAGTCAAGTTGGCCAAGCAACAATCTGATGCTGTGGCAAGTCAAGCAAACAATGAGCCAGCAGCCAGTTGGTCTCTGGCCGGCTTGTGGTATGCGCTTTATAATTGCGCAGAGCCGCAAAAGTGACCCACTTTGTGGCACAAGTTGCAGGTTGACCAACTAGCTTAGCTTATGGTAACAATGCATTAGGCTATACTAATAGAGCCTGTTGTTGTTATGGCCACAGTAGCTCGGCCCAAAATAACTGGAAGCCAAATTCTGAGGGCGTTCAAAAGCCCGCATCCGACTAAAATGCTTTTAAGCGGGGCAGAATTGTACAGCAGATAATACCCTATAATTTATGGACATGTTTACGAGTTTTTAAAGTTCTTTTTGAAAGTTCTTTTGTTCTCACAAGAAGTGGAATCCCAATAGAATTGTGGCTTACACCTCCAGGTAAGCTTTGGAGTACTTAGAGAAAGCGGAAAAACTAAATTCATTTGAATTTTGAATCATTTATTTAAAATTCATTTATGTTTTATTTTATTTTTCGGTCACTTTAAGGAGAAAATAATATAAATTGTGGTGCCACCTTGTTATAATGGAGAAGCTGCGCGAAAAGCTTGGTCAATTGTTCACTCGAAAGTATTCGGTGGATAAGCCCATGGTGGATGAGGACGAGGAGGAGAGCGAGGAACTCCAGACCAAGGATGTGGTGGATCTAATGCAGCAGCAGCATCAGCAGGAGGAAAAGCCAAAGACATCGCAGAAGCAGCCAAAGAGCGAACGAGAGTCACATTATGATAACTACAAGCAAAAGAAACCAAGTCCCTATCCATTGACAACGGCAGATCTTCCAGTGGAAGCGGAACCGATTGCAAATTATATGGATAACATAGATCCGGGCATCAACTATGAGATGGAGTTTGTCGATTTTATCGATCGCAATGCACCGCAGGGTTTTGGACAGAAACTGGAGAGTATGCTACCCTACCTGGGCCTGAGCTTTGTCACCTGGCCCGGCTATTGGGTGTGGCGCGGCTATCAGTGGCAAACAAAGCGACGAACCGAAAGGATCGGCATGTACATACAAAGAGTAGGTCTACATAGAATTAAGTTAGTATAATTTAATCTAATTAAACATTTGTGGCATAGACCTTCCAGCATGCCAAGCTGATGCAGGTGGCCATTCTGAGCCTCGGCCTGCTGATGGCCACCTCGGCTCGCTCCTCGTCGGAGCCGCTCGAAGTACATGAGGTGTCCTACAGGTCGAAGCGAAAATGAAAACATGTGGAGCAGCAGGCTGTGCCGGGGGTGTGGTTTACAAAAAATATTACGAAACATTTCAGATTAGCTCGAGACAGCATCAAAATTTGAAGAAAATTTAACAAAAAAATAAAATAAAAATCATGGGCATTACGAACTTCTTCGAGAGCGTTAAAAATTGGACAGTGGCGCGCGTCCAAGGCACGCTATCGTCCAAGGACGATGAGCGTGAGGATGTGAGGCGATTCCCCAATCTGGGCGAGGACATACAACAGGTGGTGCATACGCCGGAATTTGAGCAGGTCTTGGACGCAGCCTCGCCGTTTCTGTTGGCCAGCATGGGCGCCTGGCCGGGCTATTGGCTATACCGAGGCTTCGACTATCACTCGCACAGAGCGCACGTGCCGCTGCCCGTATACATCAGACAGGTGAGCAAATAATTACATATAAATTTAATCTCAATTTCTTATCACCTTGCTAGACCTTTTACCAAGCCAAACTGCTGCAACTATTGATTATCATGACCGGCATCATTAGCATGGTCAAGAATCACAACAATTTCCGTATTTTTCCAGTTAGCAACAAGGACTAGTTAAATCGTTTAAATTAAAAGAAAAATCACAACAAAAAAATTGGTGAAAATCTTAAATCATGAAGTTCGTATCATTGAGAGCCTTTCGCACGGTCCCTTTTGAAACTAAAAATTCCTCCCATTTGATATTTTAATAAATGAACACTCTCAAATGCAATTTTGACTTTAAATGAAGCGTCTCTTATTAAAAACTAAACCTGGCAAATACTTATTGCTGTTGCTGCTGCTGTTGTTGTTGTTTCTTGGCCTCGGTCTTGAGCATTTTTATTTCTTTGACCAGAGCCTGAGGGTTCATGCCAGCCCCCAAGAGTTCGATGCTTATCCTGATGGCATCCGGATTAACACCTGCATTGACCAGTTCGGACATACCATGGATTACTTGGACGATTTTTTCAGTATCTTTGGCACGGCAATGCAAATTTATTGATTCCTGGTTGGACATGTTGAAAATTTCATTAACTAATTTGTTCCGACTTCAAATCAAAGGCCACAAATTTTGTTGCTTATGTCTCAGACTGCTTAGAACTCTGACAATCATTTGAGTAGAGTATTTAACAAAAGTTATAGTATCTAACAAAAGGAATAATATGGAATGCAACTTTAAAGTTTACTTTCTTCTCAACTCGAGTGTCTACATTTCTAATGAGCCGGCTAATCTACTTAACTGCTATAATTCAAAACAAACAACACCACACACACATACACACACCCTACACTCACACACACACACACACATAACAGCAACTGTCGCCCCCGGCCAAGTGGAAAGATAAATTAGCTTAAAATTAAACAAATTACTTAAGTTTTCAGCTTTGAAGTGCAGCACGCAGGCAAAGTGGAAAAATACACACAGAAAATCACAGTCAGCGAACAATTAACAAGTAAAAAGTGGACAACCAATTGAATGTGCCCCAATTATTAAATTATTTATTTATTTATTTTTATATTTAAATATTTAAATCTTTGTGTCTTTATATATTTAAATATTATTTAATGGTCGATAAATCGAGCATCTACATAATTATTTAATATATAAGTATTTGAAAATAAGATGCTAAAAGCCTTGTTTAGAATTTATTATTTATTTATTTCCCTTTCCCGCAATTTGTAGTGTATTCAAGCCTCTTACAAGATCATTTATTAAGGTACAGTTGTTGTTTTTGTAGTTGTGATAAGTAAAAGCGTTTTGGTGATCTATGTGATCTGTTGTATATCAAGTATCTTTGTTATAGTTGTTGTATCTTTAGTCTCACCTGTATGAGATACATTCTGTTGCTGGTGTTGTTGCCCCGGGCTCCGTTTTACAACCAAACACGCACACACACACTCACAAAACGCAGATGAATATAATTATGCAGCAACGTCTTAGAGAGGGTTGGGCCAGAGACAGGTATCTGCTGGTATCTAAAACCTGGTATCTGTATCTCTATCTGTACACGCCGCGATTGTTGTTGTTATTGCTTTGCTCTATTTGGAATGCAGCTCGCGTTTTTTATGATTCTGCTGCTGCTGCTGACAGTCTATTTGCTTTTAAGCTTAGAGCAATTGTTTCAATTAAATAGAAATTTGTTAACTTTCTCACTTAATGAAAATAAATTGAACACAATACAAAAAGTTTTTTGTGGCTTGGCAAATGTTCAACTTCGTTCGAAAACGAAGCAATTTCCAGCGCGGAATAAATAAAAATGGCCTTCTGTGAAGGATTTGGAGTTCCTGTGTCTTATTGTACAGTTTTATATAGTCTGGCTATATAAAGGTAAATAGTCAACAGCGCAAGATTGTTAAATGGAAAATAAAAAGGTTGCAATGCTTGTATTTAGTTCTATATATTTATAGTCATTTTATTGATGGGATTGGTTGGACAACAGCAGCTGGTTCTTGTATTACTGTCCACTTTTTGGCACCAAGAATATAATTTATTTTCTGTGCTTCGGCCTGCGTCACAGGGTTATGGATTCTCTGTGGTTGTACACACAATTCACTATGGCAATTTTTGCGTTTGAAATGCCTTTACAAGTTGTTCCATTAAATCGACCAAACAAATTTCAAACACGGCCGCGAGCTCAATGCATTGGAACTTGATCAATTTATTAATCCATTGTGTTTTGTAGACTTTAGAAAATTAAATATTTTAATAATACATTTTTTAGTATTTAAAGTTCGTTGGGTTCTTGTTTCTAGACGAGTTAAGTGTGATTTTCTTCATTTATTATTTTTGTTAAAATTCGGATTATATTTATTTCAACACATCTCCGGTGTTTCCTCTGTGGGAGTTGTGCGCGAACTAACCGTTAACGATCCAAAAATTCGGCTGCAGACCCCGTAACATAACTGATACGAATGCTATACTCGAAATGGAACTGTTGAACTCAAAATGGCACTGCTGTTGGAACGCGTTTTGTGTCTGGTTGAAACGAATACCACATATAACATCATCATGACGTTCGAACGGGCAAGTGTTTGTTGTTGTCTAACCGAATGCCATGGAAATGCGTACATGAGTTATGTTCGAGTCGAGTAGCCGCGTATTCGATTTAGTTGCGTTGCGCTTCAAATGTGTGGAAAAACAACAAACAAACATTTCCTACGATAGCCGTGGATTTTGTGTTATTTTCGGGGGCAAGCCAAAGTAAAGCTATGTTAGCTGTGTTGTTTTCTCATGAGTACAAACATTTAAATGAGTACAAACATTTAAATGAGTACAAACATTTTGATGAAATAAAACCCGAAATTTTAATACTTTCTAACTTTACTCGCAAAATTCACACACCTTGTGCAAAAATCTCTGGACAGTGGAACGCATTGCAACAGGTTCCTTTTGGCCTGCAGGCACAAAATAAAAGCGCAAGCATAATAATTATACTGGCCAAGAGACCGACTACCACACAGTGCGCAACCACAATAAAGTTAAGAGAAACAGGAAATTTTTGTACGATAACTTGTAAGACATTTCATAACCTGACATAAATCGTAAATATGACGAACGCACAAAGAAAAGGAGTCAATAAACAACAAAAAAAAAAACAACAAAACAAAGCGGAATAAGCTACTTATAAGGGGTGTGGCAAACAGCTGATGGCACAAAGTGAAAACTGAAGTAACCAGCGAACTGGACATTGTCTAGCGAACACCCTTTTGGCTAGCTGGGGCATTGTACCTCCTGTTACTCCCATACTCCGAAAGGGGCCCCGCGTACAGCAATTTAGTGAAAATGAAACTTGCAACTCGCGCTTGTTGTTGATGTGTCTTATGGCTCGAATGTGTGGCAGGCAGCGTGATAAATGCGGTTATAAAAACCTGCAATCAAGCGGCTTACCAAACGAAAGTGAAACAAAAGTGCCGACAAACCAACTCAACCAACAACCAACCGACTAAACAACCAACAACCGACCAAACAACAACAATCCGAACTGAGCCGAGCATCGGGCGAAAAACTTGCAATTTCCATTTTAATACTCAACAACTTTCGGCTAGAGGCAGGCCAAAGGAATCTCGAATCGCGAGTCGTTTCCACAATCACAGCGAAACATGAAGTGGATGCCATATTGCGGCACAGCCGCAGACTCCGCTGAATGGAATAACAAAGCGCTGAGACGCCCCTGAGATTAAAACGAGCCACAATCCCAGACACACCACACAAGAGTTACCCACCCTTTCAGCCCTCGCTGCGAGGCGCTGTATCTTCGTTGTCTGATGGATCGTATAGTCTGGGCTTGATTGGCGCTACCAAGGAGCACAGCGTCGAGCCACAGCGGCGGGCGGAGCTCTGTTGGGTATGTCATCAGCATAAATTTTACTTCGCATTCATCATAATTTTTATGCATTTAATTTGTGTTATAAATTGTCTGCCGTGTACAATGCATGGTCTTTGGCCAAAAGGGCAGCCCCAAAATCAACTGAGATTCGCTTTCGTATACCATGTATCCATAAGGTTGGCGAGAAAGGCATCACAAATTTGTTGCGATACAGGCAGAAAAACTAACTTTAGGTACAGGGTATCCTCTGTTTGAGCATACCATATTTTATATAAATTCCTGATCAGCATTAACTATCTGCCAAACGGGCCGACTACTTTATTTAGCTGACACAGGAGATTTTGGTTGAATTAATAAAATTCAGGCATCAACAAATTATTTCGTTTATGGTTTTTCCAAGATATTTTGACTTTTAAGTACTTCCTCCTTATAGTGCCCGAAATCTCATCTTCAATACTATATCATATAACTATAGAAAAAATCGATAAAATCATTATTTTTCTCTTAACTCTTCTGTTTTTTAGGCAGCAATAATTGGCTTCACAATAATCCTAAGATAACTTTATATTAAAATGGACTACTCGTCATATGACCAATTCGATTTTAACCTACAAAGGCCCTTATGTTTTTGGTTGTAAAATAATTATTAACTTGAGAAAAGATATAAATGGTAATTAGAGCAGGAAGTCATTATTGGCAATAGCTCCTAAGCTAAGGCTTAGGCCCATATAGCACAAAGTGTGCAAAATAAACTTGAAAACCATCTAAAGAGTATATGGCATATAATCAGGCAGCAGACATGGTCCGATATGTCTGTCCGGTCGTCCCGCTGGCTGGAGGTTTAAGATCGTTAGGCGCGACAGCGAATCAGGTAGTTAGCCATGTAGTCCCGAGTGAAAGACACGCAGTGAGTATCTGACGGATGCATAAGTATTTCGCAATCAACGCAGCCGCCTGCGCAAATGAGGCATTTGCTTATGTTGCAAATGAATGATTTACGAGGCAGCGAGTGGGGCGACTTATTATGCTCTAAAGGGGACCCATCTAATGGACACACAGGTAAAAATAACCACGAAAATCCCATTCCCGACAGGAACTGGCTGCCTTATATAACCAGATCCTAAGCAAATAAACGAATGTTTTTATTAGCTTACCTAACCGTTTCCGTTTTCTATGAAACTTACCTGCAAATAGATAAAAAGTAGAAAAGACAGTTTATTAGTCATAGATGCATTTCACAAGGGGATATTATAACAGGCCCAGAAGAGTGTCTGGCAAAAAATAAAACATGCGTGGAAATGATTAGGCAATTTCCGCTGGCATGCAATTCGCTCCTAAAAATTCCGCCCCTCCATCCTACTCGCTTCGCATTCGAAAGTGCAGTGAAAGACAGCCGCAAATTACTTGAGAGCATAAATCAAGTTTATCCATTGAGGTTTTTCTATTGTTTTTCCTGCACTCAGTAGCCGCTTGTAATGACCAAAATGTGATAGACGCTGCCAATAAAGGCTAATGAGTAGGCCTAATCAGAGTCTGAACGCTTCCATTTAAGATGAAAGTTATTCTCCATATCAAAGCGAAAGACGTAGCTTCATTCGATTAGCTTTAGAAATTATAAGTCCACTAAATCTTATATAACAAGTAAGGGGCTCTAGTTGCGAGTTCCCGAGTGGAGGATATCATGAATCCAGATTTTCTCAAAAAACAGTTTCGATATCGATTTTTATCGATTGATTGGAAACGGTGCAAGTTATCAATTATCGGAAACAACCACGCTGATCTACATTCCAAAATTTAAGACTCTAGCTCTTATAGATTCTTCCTGCCTGTTACATACATTTGCACAAATACAGTAAACCCCTTTTGGGTACAGGGTATAAAAATCTTTACTTAATCTTATAACAATCATCCAACTGCATTTCTGCCAATCTCGCTTCGATTAAACATAATAGATGATTAACATAATTGAACATAATTAATTTACATTTTCCATAAGTTTCTTTGGTTCTGTTCGTTATGCTAATATTACTTAATTTAAGATTAACTGAAAGCTAGCAGAATTGGTTAATAAATAAATCTATTAAATTTATAATATTTTTCCTTTTTAAACTCTTAAAGTAAAGCTGATAGCTCAGCTTTTTGGAGGCCGTTCCTCTTAAAATCAAGATGTTCGACACCTGCTTGACCTGGCTGCGCATTTGATGGATGGCACAGTCCCAGACTTGAGTGAGACCTCTGCAAGAGTCAAGCAACTGCCAAGCGCAAACATATTGGTGTGAAATTATTTGTTTTGCGAACTCAAAGATCTCTCTTTGAGCGGGAGTCTCGAGTCGAAGAGTTCAATGGACGTGGCGCGTACACACAGAAGGGTCTTTTATATCTTCATTTTTATGGACAGTTAAACAATTATATTTGGTATTTACAGCCAGTTGACTGGGCAGGCAGGTGAAATGCCTGCATGAGGCAGATTTAAAGATGATGCAATGCAACAGTCGAGAGGGGGAGGAAGGGGGCAAGTGGAAAGGCAGCATGGTGGGTACCAACTGCAATGCCAGGAGCAAACGAGCTGGGCCTTGCCACTTTCGTTTTTCGTCTTGGGCATTCGCAACTTTCCAAATATCAGAGCTAACTATTTATTGGCGTTGCTGCTTCTGGCCGGTCACGTAGTTTTATGCGGCCAAGCTGACCATTAAAAAATTCTCGGGACCACACCTCCGCACAGCCGACAATTAATTTATGAGGTCTGTCCCGGGCTCGGCATAAATCACAAGGGAATACTGCAGTCGCAATTCTCGCCAAGCGTCGTGCATGAATTTAATCAAAATTTTCATAAGTCGCAATGCAATATGCACCCATGCCCAGCGCCTAAATATAGCTCCCAGCTGACGTCAAATGCTTCCCCGGATAGCCAGATGCAATCTAAGCCGCCGGCACGCATCGACAGCTCAGCCGTCATGCCAGCCATGTTGAGCATCAGGTTTTAAATGCTGTCATGCTTCCGATTACAGCTGGCGAGATTTGCGGCATAATCCGTACACAATTGAATCAAATTTTTAGTTTAGAGAGCATGATTTTTGACCGAATAATGGTATAATGAACTTACATTGCAATTACAATCGATCGAAAATAAAATTTCATATCCTTGTTCTTAAATATATTGCAAAAATCAGCCTAAAGGACAAACTATTTAGCCTAATTACACTGTCAACATTTGTGTGAAGTAAAGAAGTGAATCTGAAGTTTGTAATTGTAACATATTTTGAGCAAAGTGGAGCTAGGCAATAAATTAAATCAAACCGATCAGCTGTTTATTTAAAGACGCGTTACTTTTGCCATTCATATGTTATCGACAACTGTGACACTTGCTAATAAAACCACAGAATGTGAATTGTTATAGATGTAAGATATATAGAGCATAGTGGAAACATAGTTGCTATTGTGTGCAGAGCATCTGAAAGTCATTAAGCGACGTAATGCTTGTTTGTTTGTATCATGTTTTCACGTAAAAACCAAGCGTATAAAAGATAGCGACAGGCAATTGGAAAAGTACGCCTGCTATTTTATTTTTTTTTCGAAAATACTTTTGCGCCTCGAGTTGTTTTTTTTTTTTTGCTTTTTTGGTTTTTATTTTTCTTTATAGTTTCTACTTATTTATGAAATCTTTAGCGTAGACCTGGCCTTTGTTTTCTGGTACTCAACTCATTTGTAAGACACTCACGTGTCACAACTTAGTCCCAAGCATAGAAAACCAAACATGAAAAAATGGTAAAAAAAAAAATGCACAAGAGGCACGTTTCGAATTGTAAGTTGCGGTTGCCCCGTTGTTGTGGGATTTAGAAATTGTTTTATAGAGGCATTTATGTTTATTTTGCGTTCAAGTTATCCACGACAATGTCTTTGCGTATCAAAGTCAACTCTCGCAACGCTAACTAAGAGTCAATTGTTCCGTGCAGTTGCCAATCCTTCTAGACACATACATGTACGTAACGTAAGGTGTGTCATTTTATTTTTATTGTTATTGTTTGTTGTTGCAAATTAATTGCCAACTTATATGCAAATTCTGTAATAAGCATTTTGACATGCCTCGGGAACAATGGCAGTCCCCTAGAGACTGCAAATGTAAATGCTAACTTTAAAACCACAAAACAGTTTTCCAATGCAGCTCGGCCCACGCACCTTGACAACAACAAGAATTTCAAACCATAGCTAAATGCATTTTGAAGTGAACTTGAATGAAATGCCAAGCTCTGATTGGGTTACAGACAAACCCAAGCTGCAATTATACCGCATTAACATGGAGCATATACGTATGCAGACAGATTAATTGATAGAGAAGAAAAAACAGACAAATTTATAGAGATCGAAAACAGATCATAGATAACTTGCAAAACCATCTACTAATCTAAGAAAAACATATGAGGCAACTTATTTCGAGCAAATTGAGTTCAAAATAATTATGTTTAACTGAAACTAGATCTATGCTAATCAAGAGGAACTTGTCTTAAAATCAATTGGTCAACGACAGCTGGAGTGGAGCTCATTAATCTTAATTATTATTTATTTTCAACGCATGTGGTCTTAATTTTGTCTGTAAAAATTTGAAGCGCGAACACTGTTTAGCAGGTTTTCAAGACAAATATTAATGAAAATTCAGCTTTGGAGTGTCAAAAGGTTTTAATTAAAAGTATCTGCGGTCCTTCAAGAAAAAGATGAAATAAAGATTTAATTTGTTTACGTTTTATAATTAAATGTAATACGCTAAATGTAAGTTAGATTAAATTTGCTACACAAATCAATTAAATCGGAGTCGAAAAGAGACACAGAAAAACAATCAACAATTATCGCAAAATAAAGAAAACAAAAATTAAAGTTAAAGAAGAGATTAATGAACAGAAATTGTAGACTAAAAATTGATTGAGGCATATGCGAAAATAGACTTTCACTTTCGCCACCGAATGGAAAACGTTTACCATTTGATAAATCAGACAGGTCCGCGGGTGGCGTTCCCCTTCCCTTCCCGCTCCTACAATTTGCCCCTGGGCAATTGTTTTAATTGGATTGTTTATCGCTAGAACTGAAGACGGACTGAGGGGCACGGGGCACATGGTTGTCATGCCAGCGGCCTATATTTTATTTTTGCTTTCCTTTGTTGACCTCTAATAAACGCAACATTTGCCACATGCCCCCATTTTGATTGACCCAGTTGCACGTATCCACAACAAGCCAATAACAGATGGCAAAACGCACCTTGGGTTGGCTCGAAGTTAGTTTGCAGTAATTGCGTTAAAAATATTTATGCAAAACTAACCCAAGGAACGCTAAACGAGTGTATTTTTAAAATAACAATAAATTTGCGTCGTTTTTTATTTTGTATTTTAAAATTATTTCAATGCTTTTGTTTTTCTTTTTGTCTGCACAACAAATATTATTGTCTAGCTGGGCATTTGTTTTGCAGCCAGAGACAAATTTCAAGAAATTCAAGCAAATAATATATTTTGAGAGTCTTTTTGCCAAGGAAAAGTCAGGAACTTATATATTGGAATTCTTTTCAAATAAATACGTATATGCAGCTCTTTCTTTCCATTTGTGACATTGCCAAAATAAATATATAGATCGGTTTTCTTAAAAAAAAATTTTGCGTCTGTTGCGTCTTTCGGATTTCTCAATAATCATTATTCAAATTTAACGAGCTATAATTACACGAGGCAAGTCAACGGGACGACCCTGATATTAAAAAGCCAGTACTGAGCGAAATACTGTCACTTTATTTTGACACTTGGCGTTGTACTTTCGAAAAAAAAGAAAAGATATTTAAATATTATCTTCAAGATTTTGCTCGAAAATATGTATTTTCGTGACGGAAGTGCGCGTGTCGCATGTTCAACAATACATAAAATAAATACGACTTGGAAAATGGCACATAATACAAAAATCGCAAAAAAACATCTCCCAATGGATATTTAAACAATCCGTAAAATATATATGATTTGGAAAATGGTAAATAATGTAAAAATCGTATACGCAAAAGGGTAAAAAACAATCTTCCAATTGTTATTTCAACTGCGTTTTTGCCAATGTTTTCGATTTTGATGCCAAATACTGATCTGAATACAAATTGCGCGCACATTCAATTTCCTTGTCAGTTCGATTCGATCAAAACAGATTGGCATTAGATGGGCCATATGCCATTTTTGTTTCTTCCTCCATATGAAAATGTGCGATCCAAATAAATAAGAAGTTGTAAAAAAGTCTAGTAAAGAAAAGTATAAATCCAGCCAATGTGAATACATCTAAATCAAAAAAGTTGCCGATTTTCAGTGCGTTTAGAAAATATTTCTCAAATTACATTTTTTGCAGAAGTTGTTAATCAATTTACTTTATTTATTTAATAGTAAAACAGAAGCGAACACATTTGTCTATTATTTTTATTTTATTATTTATTTTGCTTTAGACAAATTTCTGCTGAATTAGACTTGGATATTTGCCAAAACACAGCTGTTGGCGAACTTATGATGTCTTTTAGACATTTGCCAAATGCACTCAACACTTCTTCAACCCTCATCCACAGCCCGTACGACAAAAGTTGACCAAGAGAAATGACTCAAAGCAGCGACTGACAAAAGCGTCAAAGGGCGGCTTTTGGCGGCCAGCAGTAAAGGGAAATATGTTGGCTGACGAAAGTCATAAAACCGGCAATGTAACATGTTAAATACATGTGTGTACGTAAATAAAGAGCAAAGAAATATTTAGCCGCTGACCCTTAAAAAGCAATATATGACATTTGTGCTCAAAAGATACATTTTTACGAGTCCGAAGCAGTGTCTGTCGCTGATCAATAGGCGAATGCAAATTGTTTCGAGGTTAGAATGCCCTGTATTTTGAAATAAAAACGCACTGATCAAGACATTTTGTAGAGTCGAATATGCTGACCTCTAACTACAACATGCATAAGCACAACTTTATAGGATAAAGGATATAAGCCGAAAAGTCAATGGACATAATAAGAAGGGTGCATTTGTATATAAGAAGATTTGTAGTTTTTAATTGAAATAAAAGTGTATTCATCAAGAATACATACATTTTGCATAGACAAATATGTCTACCTTCAGCTGTTACACACATTTGCAGAAGTTTATAGGGTATAGGGCATATTATTTAGTCTACTTCTCAATTGAAATTAGCCATGTGACTTGGCAGCAGACAATTTCAAAGCATTTTCTAATACACATCTCTGTGGGGCTTAATTGCCGACGTCTGTGTGTCCAATTTTAGCTCAATGGAAACTGTTCGAAAAACAAACAACAACAAAAAACTATGGGAAACAAATTCGGCTATAAGTTGAAAAGTGAACTAACATATAGAAGTATTTCTGTGTAGATACAGTTCTCGACTGATTCATGATGGAAGCGTTGCAGCAGATACAAAACTGCTGCGGATATGCTGAAAGGTGTTTATAAACAACAACATGGCTGGAATAGGATCGGAAGATATTGCTTGGGCACCCCAGGTAACTGCTATACTCACACTTTTAGCGCGTACTGTAGAGCATTCAATAGTGGCGCTCCTCGCAAAGTATCCGAAAGTAAGTTAGAAAATACCGTCAATCGTTGCTTGAATCGGTTTAGTTTGGTTTGTTATGGCTTTCGGTGTCTGTTCACGTTGTCACAGAAACCCAAGCACCGTGCTTAGGGCACGACATAGTCGGGCAGAGTGAAGCCAACGCGCGAAAACAAAACAAAACAAAAGATACTATTGATTACGGGGCGAAGTTATGCGGAGTCGTCTCTGGAATCTGTTGTGACAGACCAGGGCTGAATTGTTGACAATCCAATTAGCGCTTCGTTGTTTAAAGAAGCCGCCAAATAAATGCTTAAATGCCTTACTGGGCGTATACGCGTTTCCGGATATTTTCATCTAACGCAAACTCACAAAATACACAAAATGCTTAAAAATTCTTGCATCACTCGAAACTGATCAAAAATCTTCTGAAAAATTGGCAGCAACCACGCGACCACGGCGGAAAATGTTACGGAAAAAGGGAAAAACCGCTGAAGCGACGCGCACGAGCACACATCTAACGGAATACTAAACGTAATTGGAAAAGCAAACCGAGCCCTCTTCTTGGCACACTCTCACGCGGAAAATTGAAACTGAGAGGCGCTAAAGAGGAAAAGCACGGAAAATGCTCTGAGAGCAAAGGCAAAATATAGTGCGAGCGTCTTGTTTATAGAAATACAAATGGAGACCAGACGAAGTGCGAGGAAGGTGGAAGGAGGGGGTGCGAGGATTTTTTGATCGAA